GGGGGTGAAATTTACCGGCCTAAGAATTGTTAGAGTTAGGTTAAGGTTAGGGTTAGGATATTAAGAATTTTTTTTTTTATATAAAATAATATAGAGCTAATAAAAGATCCCAATCTTAGTTTTTGTAAGGTTTTCAGGGGTTCTGAACATTTTTACTTAGAGTACCCGATCCCGTATACTTAGTACGTTTTTGAGATACAGCACTCCCGGTGAATTTCACCTCCGGTGAGCGTTAAGATCATCCTTTAATTTATATTTAAAATTAAAAATTCGTAATTTCGACGATAAAGGTTTGTATGATTGACGAATTTGATAGAATAATATTAGCTTCAATTGCAAACGTCAAGATGATGATCTGGTATTTAAAATGATACTCTTAAAACAAATACCATCATTTTTTTACGTAAGGCGTTACTTCAAATTATTTACGATAGATATTATTTAGATGGCGAAATAAAATTCATCGAAATGTTGATGTGTATATAAAATTATACTAATTAGCTGATTTCGTAGTAAATTTTGCATTCTAATTAATAAATCGATTCACTGGTAGATTTAATTATCACGGTGTTTATTTTCGAAAGTTACTTGTATGGGTAGAGTCAGTAACTGCGTATCGTATACGTATGCTTTAAATATCTTTTATTAACGAAGTTGTAAAAAATGTATATAATCACGAAATAAACATTATTAATAATTGTATATAGATAATTTCAAAACCTTAATAATTTAATTTATTAAATAATCAAGTATATAATTTATTATTATTATAGTGAATCCAAAAAATTTTTTGTAAAGAAATAGTAAATAAAAAACATATAACCCGATTCATAAACTAATGTAAAGTCCTTTTATCTAAATTATTATTATTCTTTTTTTTTTTTTTCGAAGAATAATTTTGTTTGTCCAACTCATTAAGTTATAACTTGGAACTCAACTTTTCATTTTTCCGCTCATTTGTTATGTTTGACATAGCTGCTTCAATAAGTTCAAAAGCTTCTAGACATGAGCCCCAACTTGATGAATACCCTAATAATAAAATAAAATTCATGTAAACAATTGATATGTAATTTATGCCCTGCGATTTACCAGGGTATAAAACATATTATAACGCGTAAGATTAAAAAAAAGAAGAGAATAAATTACCGTATGTATGATGACCATAATTATGGCAAATTACAATATCTTTGCCTTGATCATTTTTTATCGTCTCTATTTCAAGTCTAATACCATCGACTCTAGTTGGTCTTCGTCCAACATTGTGGCTTATTATTTTTAATGCTTGAACTCCTTTACCTAATGTTAATTCTGGACACAATTCTATACATCGTTGAATAATTAATTCGGCAGTTTTCGAATCGGGTCTATCGTTTCTAATCGTAGAAATAGAGTTATGTTAATATTTTACACAATTATATCTTTTAAAAAATAATCATGATAGATGAATTGAAAATTTACAAATCATTTTCTTCTAAAGTTCCTCCAAGAACCACTTCACCGTCTTCTCGAGGGATGATATACGATATGTAATCGGAATCTTTAGTTGTAATATATAGATATATAAATATATAAAACAGTTAACATCTTAATATAAAAATTTAATATAATAAAAATTTTAATATAAAACATACTTGACCGATAATATATAGTCTTAACATGGGGTGCCCACACAATTACGGTTTGACCTCTCGTAGGAATCACAGTATCATCTTGAACACCACCAAATGTTCGTGCATTGAGTCCTGTGCAATTCACTACAATATCAACATCATCTTCGAATGATTCATTGATGTGAGAAAGATGGACCTTTTTAATTTTACCGCCAGCACACACAAATTGCTTAAGAAGCCAGCGTATATATCTAGGTCCGTGTATAGTAACTATTAATAAACAAGTTTCATCAGACGTAGAAAACAAAGGATATAACAAGTATAAAAAAATGGGTAAAGTATTAACTTGTCGTATAAGATAATCCAAATTCTACACCTGGTGGAAGTTTTCTTTGAGGCAGTACGCGAAACTAGAATAGAAATTTATAAAATTGAGATTAGATTATAAACAAAAAGTTGAAAAAGGAAATTGATTAAATTAAATAATTGAATATCATACCTTTGGAACAAATTCTTTTAACCAACCATCTTGACTCAATTCAGGTTTTTTATCCATATAATCATAAATTGTTGCACTCATTAAACCAGTATCAGGTGTATGCATCAAGGTCCAAAATGCTTTAAACGAAATTCGTTCGAATTCTATGAAAGATTGGTTATCATTTTTTAGATATTTATTTCAAAGTTTAATACAAATTTTATCTAGGTATAATGTCTTACAATAAATAATTCGACACGAATTTTCAAAAAAATCAAAAGTTCGACTTCATCATTCTACTTACTATCCACATTTTTTATATTATCAAGATAAAAGTGCGGCCTCCAAGCTGCACCCGCCCAAGGACTTGTATAATTTATATCAGAATCACCGGGCCAATGTTCAGCGAGGATTTGAACTTGATACCCATTTCGTTGTAGAATTAAGGCGGTGGTAATACCTATAACGCCAGCACCGATAACATTAACTTTTTTCTTACTCATATTAACGTTAAATGAACCCAAAAAAAAAAACGAGAATTAAAGCCGAGGAAAGGGAATTAAGCCGAGGGAAGTTATTTAAACTCGCGTATTTATATATAAATGATTTATATAATGAAATATGTGTGTGTACCCTGAATGATTATCCAAAGTCTATTTTCTGATCATCAACCGAATAAATCGACCTGCAGTTGTGTTACGGTACTTATCTTATCTGTTATCAGTTATCATTCTATTTATCGTAATCACTATCTCATACTGTATAGCGAAAAAGAAAAAAGTAAATTAAACACCGAGAAAAATTCTGCAAATCTCAAGATCAGGTGTAACCTGAAAATAAAATAAATAAAAAAAAACAATTGCACTTTCTTGCGAAATTTTGATACACTACGGTTATCCATTATTCTGAGATTATAAGCTAGAAAGTCGGAAGAAAGTTCGGCTTAGTCCGACTCGATAATGTACATATGTACTGTACCTACTGTACCTCGATAAGCAATTTTTGTAATTTGAGTTTCATGTTTCACGTTACACTAAAACTAATTAGTCACACATAATCGATTTTTAGTGAAACATGGTGCGAATAATATTCCGAATTTCACAAGTATAAGATCTACATATTTAAGCATTGTTTTTTTTAACGTTAATGAAATATTTGTCGATTAGTAGAAATTTTAAAAAATTATTTTATTAATTCACATGTTACAATTAATAATTTTAATAATTATGACTTGATATTTATAGAAAAAAAGTTTGATCGACCATATTCGAATAATAAGAGTTCTAAATCAGTTAATCTTTTTTTCAAGTTTAAAATGAAACGTTTTGGCAAGGATCTTATCATTTTAGCGTTTTAAGTTAGGCCTCCGCATGGGCCGGGTAGGGCCGGGTAATAGAAATACCCTAGCCCTACCCGTTTGTGTAAGGGCTTAACTT